ACGAGAAGGGTTGGTCCATAATCAGGAAGCTGAGCAAGCTCCCAGAATGATGTCAGCATGATTAGTTATTTATTAGGTCTGGTATTGCTCAATATCTACATCATTAATGATTTGGATGCTGGGATCCAGTGCAGATGACACCAACTATCACTTGCAAATCAAGGGTAATGATTCTTCCACTTCATCCGGCCTCAGTGAGGCCTCACCTGGAGTGCTGTATCCAGTTTTGGGCCTCGTACTTCAAGAAGGATGTAGACAGTTTGGAAAGAATCCAGTGCAGGGTAACAAAAATTATCAGGGGCCTGGGAGACAAGACTTACAAAGAAAGGCTGAAAGAACTAGGGTTATTAAGCCTAGAGAACAGAAGACAGAGGGGGGATTTGATCACAGTCTTCATATACTTGCAGGGTGATAAAGAGGGTGAAGATGGGCTTTTCTTTGTGGCCATAGGAGACAGGACTAGGAGCAATGGCCTCAGGGTGCAGCAGGGGAAACTTAGGTTGGAAATTAGGAAGACATTTCTGACTATGAGGCTGAGCTGGCATTGGAGCAGGCTGCCTAGAGATGCTGTGGAATTTCCACCCTTAGAAATGTTCAAAAGCAGGTTAAACAGACCCTTGGGCAGGGATGGTTTAGTCAGGGATAATCCTGCCTTGAGCAAGAGGCTGGACTAAATGACTACTGTGATCCCTTCCAGCCCTACCGTTCTACGATCCTATGATCAGTAGTATTAAAGACAGGCTTATTTTTTACATTTTTCTACCCACCAATTTAAATTTTGCACCTACCAACTTTACTCAAGATACACAATCAAAGGATTTCACATGCAACCACAGGAGCTGAGGCATGGCCAATACATCTACCCAATACTTTACAAACAAATCAATTAGCAACTATGTGAAGAGCAGAAGTCTGATAACAGAGAATTTGTTTCCCAGATCAGAACCCAATGGGTGAAAGCTGAAGCTAAACAAATTCAGAGTAGAAATTGTTAATCATGAGGGTAATTAACCACTAGAACAACTTGCCAGTGGCTGCGATGGATTCTTCCTGACTGAAAACTTCTAAATCTAAAATTTCAGGATGTTTCTTTAATAGCTATGCTTTGGTTCACCCAAGAATTATTTTAGGGAAATCCTACAGCCTGCATAATACACAATGTCAGAATACATGATCACAATGAATCTGACTTTGTCATCTCTGAACCATGAAAAAGGGAGTCCTCATTTGCTGTCTAACAATGTGCAGTACAGTGAGAATTTTTCACCTTCCCCCACACTCCAGTAAACGGCCAATCCTTTCAAACACCAACTCTCCCTTTCACCGCATATGAGCCACAAAAAGTAATGGGACATGTGCAAAATGAGATTAGTCTTTTTCTGGGGTCTGTGACAAATTTAATCTGTGTTCTGTTACTGGCTGCTAGGAAAATAGTGGTCTTTCATAAATGCCATCTAAAAATATTTCACTTACCAGTATAGTTTACAGAATAGTTGTTTGGGTCCAGGAATTTCTTTACCAGTTCACAGTTAGACAGTATGTGATTGGTAGTGATTACATCAAGATAGCTCTGGAGTCCTTTCTGTCTTTCAGCTATGAATTCACGCTCCATATTTCCAATCAACTTTTTAGGAGGCAGAGGTAGACTTAGAGCTGATATCTTAAAAAGAAAACAAAAATAGTATCATAACATATCTTCTTGAAATGTTTAACAGGAATAAACACTTATGCCACAGAACACTGTTTTGTGCTGTTCTAATAGCCAAGATGATTTTTCAAAATTATATGCATTTATAAGGACTTAGGTTGGCATTTTATTTGTGTTAAATTCTAAGTTTGTATAGAACTAAACAGTCTGAGATGTATTCTCATCTCTGCATGTAAAAATTTGGAATTATAACTGTATTGAAACTACAAGCATATTTAAATGCATGTCCCACACTAGCAAAACAAGAATATTGCACTGTGCTGTCTCAGTCCCAACACAATCTGAAAATATTAAACTGTTAAACTCTTACAGTGTTTACCCACCATAAAATGTTCATGTCACGGTTTCACCACAGCACAAACCAAGCTTGTGCGCCTACATCTGCTCATTATGAACTTTCTTCATTCCTATATAAGTTTGCATGGATTGTTAATAGTTTCTTTTACACCCACTACCTTTATTGGGAATTTTAAAGAAGCTGACATTAAGGGCTTTTAAATGCAGTTTCAATTACACTAGATAACCTTCAGTTCTTAAGCTAAATCTTTTGTCATGTGATATTATACAAGCATAATCTAGCACAGCTGAAGTGGCCCCATTTGAAAGTGGGACAACGCAATCAACACAGACAAGTGTAAGGTGATGCACCTGGGGAGGAAAAACCGGCAGCATACCTACAGGCTAGGGAACTCCCTTCTCGTCAGTGCAGAGGCAGAAAAGGATCTTGGAGTCATCATTGACTCCAAGATGAACATGGGCCGGCAGTGTGGGGATGCAGTCAGGAAGGCCAACCGTACCTTGTCATGCATCCACAGATGCATCTCAAGCAGGTCC